GGATGATATTCCCTCTTCCCCTCATCCCAGAAACTGCTTCTTAAACATAGAGTAAATTTTGCCCTCAATTGATCTGAAGGTTGGTGGAGAAGGTTTCTGAACACAAAGCATGTCTCTAAAACAATTCTTTTAATTTATAAGAATGTTAACCAAGCATAAAGTATAAATGTCCATTTTCGGGAAAGGACCCCCGTGTCTCACTATCAAACAGGAGAATCAGGGAAGCTAGGCTTTGCATACCCAGTTTCTTCTGTCTGGGGAGTGGGACCATTTGTAGGTATCTGGGAGAAACTCTAGGCGAAGGGTCGGAGGGTCAACAGTGAGGCTACACCTAACAGTGGCTAGCTGACTGGGCTCTTCATGTGATTGAGAAGGACTGCAAGCTTAGTGGTGAATGGGATGCCCTGAGCTAGAGAGTTGCTGCACAGTATAACAGTGTGAGAGCTGCCTGCTTCCCCCATGACTATCACACTGAATATTCTGACACCCAGACTAATAACAATCGTAACCACCATTCCCCAAGAGCATGTGATGAACCAGGTCCAGAGTGCTCATAACTTCCTCAGTTTTCCATAGCCATCCTGGGCATTTAGAATCACTACCCACCTGGAAGCAGGAAGGCAACCTCAATTCTCTTTTCTTTCTTCATCAGCTTTTTAAATTGACAGTGCCAGATCCAGAGCAATTACTTGTTGAAGTGACAGTTACTCCTGCTCTGTGCCACTGCATGGCCCTGCTTGTTGTCCTCCCCATCAAACCAGACCTGCCCACCTTTGAAGCCCAGCACTGCCAGACACTGCACTCCTGCCTCCTCCAACAAGTCCTCTGGAATTCTCCCACTATCATATCCCTTCCAGCTCTTTGAGGATGCAGAGTTGTCAACCCCAAGCACACCTCTTGTCCCTCCCTGTGTTGTGCCCTGTTGCCATGACTATATCCGCTATGGCTTTCAGCTGGGCTATAAAAGCCCTAAGGCCAGGGTCATAGCAAAGCAGTGATGAAGAGTGGGAAGATGGTAGTGTTGAAGTCAGACCTACTAGAGCTGGAATCCCTGCTTCCCCTCCCTGGAGGACTGGAAGCCAGTTACTGTACTGTTGTGGGCAGCACTTACTCACTATTCTCAATGGTTACAGCAATGGTCTTTCAAGTCAGAGCCAGCAAGCTATCAGTCTCTGGTTACCGCTGTGCAGCATCATGGTCAAGGGCATGGTGTGCAGAGCCAGACTGTCCAATTTGCTTTTTAAAATGAATTTATTTATGTATTGGAAAGGTAGAGTAACACAGAGAGATGCAGTGAAAAATCTTCCACCCACTGTTTTATTTCACAAATGCCTGCAATAGCCTAGGTGGGCCAGGGTAAAGCCAGGAGCTAAGAACACCATCTCTGTCTCCCCTGTGAGTACTTAGTGCACCTGATGCCTCCCAGGAGCATTAGTAGAAAGCCTATTAGAAGCAGAAGCAGGACTCAAAGCTGGGCATGCAAACATGGGCTGAAGGTGTCCCAAACTTAACCTGCTACAACACAACACTACCCAGACTGTCCAATTTCTAATCCTACCTCTGCCACTCACCAGGTTACTAAACTTGCATTTGCCTCAATTTCCTCATGTCTGAAATAAGGATAGTAAGACTTATCTCATTGGATGATTATAAGAATTAAGTCACTTGAATTGCAGTTAAATGACCGTCACCTGCCAAGACAGCATCCCATTCGGACGCAGGTCCCAGGTGCTCCACTTCTGATCGAGCTCTCTGCTAACATCCTAGGAAAGCAAGGTAACACAGTCCAAGTGATTAGGCCCCTGCAACCCACGTGGGAGCTCCAGCCTTTGGTCCGACTCAGTCCCAGCTGCCATTGTGGCCATTTGGGGAACAAATCAGTGGATAAAAGATCTCTCTCTACCCTCTCTTTCTGTAACTCTGCCTTTCAAGCAAACTTTAAAAAAAAATGAATGAGCTATTTTATGTATTTTTTTTTTAAATTCCTAGCACTTAGGAAATTCTATGTAAGAACACAGCTAGGTTGTTATTATTATATTGGTATTATTATAGAAAATGAAGTGTCTTATCTGTTTCAAGTGTTCCTGTAAAGATGAAATGGGATCATAGAGGAATGGTTGTGCTCTTCCTTCATTTTCTCACTGCCTGGTAATGTACACCAATCCTTGTGAGCAGATTGAAACCTTTCCAAACATGGAAAGGTAAGCCATGCTTTTTTCAACTTAAAGACTATTACATCTAGATTTTCCATGCCCCATTTCTTGAGTCAGCATTATAAACAGCAGATTTTTATTAAGTGTGATTTGCTTGCCAAATACTTAGATATTTGATATGTTCAATTTTTAAAAAGATTTATTTGTTTTTACTGGGAAGTCAGATATACAGAAAAGAGGAGAGCCAGAGAGGAAGATTCTTCATCCATTGATTCACTCCCCAAGTGACTGTAACAGCCAGAGCTATGCCCATCTAAAACCAGGAGCTAGGAGCCTCTTCCAGATCTCCCACATGGGTGCAGGGTTCCAAGGCTTTGGGCCATCCTTGACTGCTTTCCCAAGCTACAAGCAGGGAGCTGGATGGAAAGCAGGGTAGCTGGAATTAGAACTGGCATCCATATGCAGTCCTGGCACATGCAAGGCGAGGACTTCAGCTGCTAGGCTACCACACCAGACCTGCACATGTTACATTTCTTAATGCTCACAATTCTTATTACTGTTTATGCCCATTTTAGTAGATGGGAACAGATGAGTCCTAGAGCAGTTACTGGACCAGGTCACTCTGGAAGTATACCAATACTCATCTGACCACAAAACCTGTGCTACCAGCCACTGCCCCTCCTTCCAAATCTTCAGAAGAGAAGGGAAAGCAGAGGCCCCGAGATATCATTAAGTCAATCATTTCCTGAACATTCTCTAATGACCAGTCTTTACATAAGTCAGACACATTCCTTAAGCCATAATCAAGACTTTTCTGGGGGAAACAAACGGGCACTTTGTCAGAGTATGGGAGAATTTATTCAAAAAGGCAAAATGACTACCCCAAAGTCAGCTTGATATCACAGGGTGGGCTGTGAGGCAAGGATCTGTCACCTGTCACAGGAATGAGCCCTTGAGTGCCTGGACTTTGGTAAGGAGAGGACAAGTTGGTCAAAGTGGAGAGTTCACTAAAAAGTAGCCACTTTCCTCCACAGTTCACCCACACCATCCTCATGGTCAGTGCCAAGGACCAAGGGAGAACAACACAGGTGGAAACTAGGGTGGAAGTAGGGTCATGAGGGGAAAAGAGCAAGGAAGAAACCAATGTCTGAGGGGACATGGCCAGGGGGAAGCTGGAGAGCATGTTTTCAGGGCAGAGGGTCCTGAATAGGAGCTCTCTAGAGCCTGCTATCTGTGGGGCCCACGACACTGTTCAATGTAGGGTCAAATAGGTATAAACACAGAGCTACTGTCAGGATCAGGATATCACCAACACTTGCTTTTCTTCTCACCCCGGGCCTTCTCAACAGACTCCAGGATGTGTGGCACATCCCGAGTCATTTCCCGGGCCTCCCCTGTGCCGCCCACGGCCACTCCTAGGCCCCGCTGGACACCTCCAGTGGTTCAGGACACAGCAAGCTCAGAGCCCCCACTCTCCAGCAGAGGCAGGCCCTGGGAACAGGAGGAAGACTTTCCTTCCTCCCACACACCATCACTCAAAAGCTGTCAGCTTCCAAAAATGTTCAGCAAGTGCAGCAGCAAGGGGCACGCTTATCGGCCTGGTGTGGGAGCTTAATCTGCTTTGAGAACCTTCTCCAGACAGGAGTTCCAAAAGTCTGCTTGCAATTAGCTTCCAGCCCCGGTTCTTCCATCGGAAAGACTAGGAAAACGGTGAGGTCTAGTCTCTGATCAGAGACAGCTCCCAGAGAAGGTGGAGACAGTGTCAGGAGAGGAGGATGTGCCAAGAAGGTCAGCTGGTCTGTTGCCACTTCCCTGACACCCGCCCCAAACCACCGCCAGCTCTGGCTTCCCGCCTCTCTTGACCCGGACAGTCACATCCGTCAGGTCCGCCTGTCCCCAAAAGTCCCTACTGACTGCCTGCCAAGAAAAAAAAAAAAAAAAACCCGCGTGCCCGACTCCCTCCTACGAGATTGCGGGGGCAGAGGGGGTGGGGGTAGGGGCTCAGTAGGGGTGGGCAGGAGGCCAAGAGAACCTGACTGGCCCCAACTGATTTCCTTAAAAGAGACTGCAGGGCTGGCGCATTCTCCGGTCCAACTGGATGATGCAGCTCTGTCTGGAAAGGTAGCAGTCACCACGTCTCATCTAGCCCACCGCCACCCGCAGTCACCGCTCTACGGACACAGGAATTACCACCCAAGGGAGGGGTTTAGCTTTGCGCCGCCATTCCGAGGACGCCGCCTCCACCTCCGCCTCAACTGCCAACCCGCCCCCCCTTCCCCCGCCGCTGCCTAGGCTGCTGCAACCCTCAGCATCTGGCCCAGAATCCCGTCGCCGCCCCTAAGGATGGGACAGGGACAGGTCATCTTGGAGCCCTAGAACAGCAGGTTCACCACCACCTAGCCTCCTTTTCCTGGATCTTGCTGCAAACGCCAGGGGGTGGTCCAACCAATGGGGGCTGCAGATCCGTCCTTGGCAGCGACAGAATCTCTGCGGAACTGACAGACGCCCAGGGGCTGCAGCAGACCCTGCATTTTTAGAGCCAGGCCCTCAACATGCAGGACCTGACGTTTCCAGGGTTGTGCACGTTTTATGAGAATACCCTGGCCAGGCCCCCAGCCCTGGATGCCGCAGGCGCGCGCGCATCTCCGCAGAGCTCCCACTGCCAACCACTGGCGCACGGGCCACACCCACCGGCCAGTCCACTCTCCTCTCGCATGCATGCATCCCCACCTGCTGATCTAAGTCGAAGGGAGCCCCTCTCCACCCACATGGTATGCCACTCTACTCCCAGTTCCCCTGCCTCCCAACCTCCAGCACAATGGCCCCCCGTACAGCGACCCCTCTCACCTGAGTATCCAACCCATTTTCCACAGAGCCGCTCTTCCGCAGCGGGGGCCCCTGCCCCACCGGTTCCTGTAGCCCCTGAGATTTTAGCGCAATCTGGCCAGGGTAGGCCGTCTTGCTCACCTCCACTTTGCTACCCAACTTGAGGTAGCAAGGTTGGGGACCAGCGCGGGCCGGGGGCACGTGCAGGATGGGCGCAGCACTGTGCACGGGTTTGGGTAGTCCCGATTTCATTTTGGAGGCAACCAGGATGGCCGGCATCTTCTCCCGGGGCTTCGGTTTTACCAGCACGTCCCTGGCAGCGGCGGCGGGGGCGACCGCTAAAGGCAGCGCGGGCAGCAGAGCAGGCGCCGGGCCTCAGCCCAACAGGCGCCCACCACCAGAGGCAGAAAAAATAAAAAGAAAAAGTAAACCCCCTGACCGGGGAGACAAGGACAGTCTGGCGAGCGCGCCTTCTGGATGCCGGAACAAGCTGAGGGACTAGCCTCTGTGCTCAGCGGGTCCCACCTTGACGGATGCTGCAGCCGCCGTCTCAGGCCCTCCGGGGTTGCCTGTTCAAAAGCTCTGGGCGCTCAGGAGCTGCTGCTGCTGCCTTTTCCAATTTCCTCCTGGGAAACCGAGGCTTGGACGTCCATACTAACTTATCACTGCATCCCTGAAGTGAGGAGACCTCTGGGTTGGAAGAAACCGGCGCGGCGGGAACCCACAGGTCCCGCTCTGGAGGCTGCGGGTGTGAGAGAGCGCGGGAGACTCGCTGAGGAAAGGGAGAAGGAGGGCGCACGGAACCCCAAGACGTGTACACCCGAGAGGCAGTTGCCACCCTGTCGCAAGCACTGCAGGGTCCCCCCGCCCGCGACGCGGCAGGAGCGCGGCGAGAGCTTCGGAAAGGTCTCCTCTCTCTCTCCTGGCGTGACAGTCACCACTGTCCACAGGTCCCTCGGACAGACAGCACCTTCGCGCCTGCGGCGCTGCACATGCTCCGTGCAGCCGGAGCGTGGCGAGGCCTGTGCGGTGGCGGACGCGGACACCGGGACGCGCGGCCGGCGGGCTGGGCAGGGCTGAGCTCCAGAGCGGCCGCCGCGGTTCCCGGCAGGGCTGCGCTGGCTGCGGGGCTCCGCGCAGGGGAGGACAGGCAGCGGCCGGCGAGGCTGCGGCGCGCGCTGACAGCCCGGGCCGCCCCCGGCGCGTCCATTGGCCCGCGGCGCGCCAATCGCCGGCCCCGGCTCTCCCTGCAAAGGAGGAGTGGCCTCAAGTCCCCGGCCTCCGCCGAAACTCCGGGCGGCGCTTGGCTGCGACTACAAAGCTGGCTGCTGGCGGTGCTGCGGCACGGCGCGGAGCGCGCGCTTCCCGGCGGGCCGACTCCCCCGCGTCCCTCCCGAAACCTGCATTTGAAAAATGCCCTTTCGGTGGCAGACGCGCGCCTCAAATACCCCCACCCTCCCTCTCAGCCTCCTGGCTTGGATCAGGGGAAGCTCGTTTCCTTTTTTTTTTTTTTTTTCTTTTCAAATGGCTCTGGACACCTTAACGGTTTGAGCCTTCCGGAGTCACGACTCGCTGCCCCCCTGACAGCCCGGGCAGGGCGGTTCCCGTCCACCGCGGGAAGGACTCAGCCGGTCCTCTGCCTGCTCCTCATGGCGGGCAGGGGCCTCCCAGTAGCTTCCTCTGTAGCTTTCAAAGGCTGCACATTGCACTCAACTATTTGAAGTGTTTATGGATGAATACGACACGCAGGGGAAGCTTCCCGCGCCGGGAGAGGGCTTCTCCTCTCCATCCACCGCCTGCTCTGTAATTAGGGTGGCTGGGGAGGCTCCTGACCCCGAGGAGCCCCTCCCTGACGGCGCCGTGGACACACTGGCCCCACAGGTTCCTCGACTTCACTCACAGCTGCCGCAGAATCCCTCTTAGGGGCTGTCTGGCTTCCTTGTGAGAACTAGAAGGAAACAGGGACTACCAGGTAGGCCAGGGCCCAGCAAATTCAGGGACAAGGAGCCTCCGCTGCGTGTAACCATCTGGATCTGAACTGGCCAAAAAGTCTTAGTTTTCATAGGTGGGAGAGTCAGGGTTTGACTGCATTCATCATATGGTGCTGCAGGGTTAGTGGAACCCTGCATGTCGGTTGCCTGGCAGCAAACCTCGAAATGCAGAGGATCAATGAATGTTGCATCCCTATTATCCAGTGACCGCTGCTCCCTGTCCTCTACCCCTGTCCCCCTGCCTCTGTCCTCTGATATAAGCTATTAGTCTCTGTGTCTGGAATATAGGTTCTCAACTAGCGCTGCTGCACTGATTTGGAACACTCTAGACACCACGGACTGGGTTGTGTGGCCCCACTCTCCGTCAGAGAGTTAGAGTCCTAATCCTAGTGTGAGAGAACATGGAGGTGGGCCTTTGGGAGGCAATAAGGACAGTGCAACCCTAAGAACGGGATCAGTGTCCCACAGGAGACAGATCTGCCTGAAGAGGCAGCCTAGAGGAAGGACGAGGAGGGCCCTCACAAAAAACCTCCCCATGTTGGCACCCTGACTTTAGACGTGTTTGTTGCTTGAGTCACTCAGTCTACAGCTTTAATAGCTTAAGGTGAAGATGGTAGCAGACTAAAAGGAAACGTCTTTTAACACAGTCTTGGCAGCATTAAGAAATGAGGAGGGGCATTCTTAGCATAGCTGGTCCTCCCTCCTCTTGCCTGCCACCTATTCTATGTAGCAACTTCCTACTCCAGGTGGCTGAAATATAACCTGTAAATCATAAGCCTGTGGCAATTATCCTTCCTTACTGAAATGAAATCACACGTGGTCCCTGCCACCCTACACTCTGCCCTTGGCCATCTGATGCCACCATTCGAAATGATGTCTTGCTGTATTTAACTTTTTCTTTTTTTGCCTCCATGTGTTTATTTTCTTCATATGGAACAAATCCTCTTAAAGTTAGGAATTGGGTTTTGACTTTCATTGGATTCAGTACTAAACATGCCAGCAATGAGCTATCCACATTGTTACTAATGGATGAGTAAATGAAGGATATCAGAGCATTCTACAGCACATATTACCTTTAAGGCTGAAGAAGAAGAAAAAAAGAAATGATATGTTGTATGACACTTTGGCACTCTTGCTCAAAATTATGGTTTTTAAAAATGCGTAAAGGGTTGTGGAAAGACATATGGTCTTCAACTTGTAAAGATGCTGAAAATATTCCAAAATATTCCCACATTTCTGATGCAATGGGTCTTAAAAAAATGGTTTCTAGTACAGAGGAAGCAACATTCCCCAAAAAGTTGTTTCTAAAACTTCATTGAATACAAAGATCCTGGGTTGGGGCTCAGCCATCTGTATTCTCTTGGAGGGACACTGATAAGGAGTAAAGTTGGAGAATTTCTGTTTCAGTGAACATACCATGCGTCAAGCACATTTCCAGGGTTTCTTTTACCATAATATGCATAAGAAGCACTGGGGATTTTGTTAAAGTGCAGATTCAGTGGGTCTGGAATGGAGTGAGATTTTGTTACCTAAGTCAGCTCCTGGATGATGCCCAGATTGGTGGTCCGGGTGTGTGAGCAGGAAGCCCACACACAGCACCAGGCCTTGTGGAGCTTAGTGTACCTCTGTTGAACTGTGCAGGAAAGGATACTGAGGACGCATCCATCTAGTAGGAAAGAGCAGCTGATAATGGTCCACTGATAATGTCAGTCATGGTTACAGAAATGATCAGGGTCATCAACAGTGTGTATTTGCCATCTTTGATTTCTTATTTCAATCATGTTTGTCTTCAAGGTCTTCTCCTTTTATTTATTTATTTGACCTCTGAGATATTTAAATATAAGTATGAAAAACAGTGTTCGATTTTCTTTGTGTTGAAAGGCCTTCTGGGGCAGGTGTTGCTATAGCAATTAAGGTATGCTGAGAATGCTCCCAATCAATTTCTCAGTTCCCATGCTTGAATCCCAGCTCCACTTCTAGGATGGCCCCAGTACTTGCGTACAGGCTTTCCATGCAGGTTGAGACCCAGACCGACTTCCAAATCCCTGGCTTTGACCTGGCCCAGCCTCAGCTGTTGCTGACAATTGTAGAATACAGCAGTAGGTGGGAATTCTCTCAATCTCTCTTTCTCTCTCTCTCTTTTTCTCCCGCCACCGTCCCGCCCCCATGTGTATGTTTACCTGTCATTAAAATAAATAAATAAAAATTGAAAAAGAAAGCTAATACATTTGGCAAGCATCAGTAGCTAAAGAAGTCACTGTTTCAGTGAACAGTAATCTTCCCTAGGAAGAACAAACTCATCAGGTTTAAGAAAATCTTTTCTTTTTAATTATGTGTGCTATAGAGAAAGATGACCACCATTTAAGATCCCCACTTTGACTATTCTGCCTTCTCTGTGTTCCATTTGTAAGCTTTCAAAATCACCTAAATGGCTCTGATGAGCCAGTATGAACCTTATTCTCAAAGCTCTCAGAACTGCCGACTCACCTAAGCCTTGGCATTTCCCCAGGTTGTGGGAGCCACCCTCAGTTGAGAAACCACCAAGTGCAACCCTGTTTGGTCCTCAGCATTGGCTCCTTGTGGCTGGCTGAGAATGAATTGGACTTAAACCCTGACCTAAAAGTGGCTGGCCTCATCAACCTAATTTCATCTAAATGAAGGGCCCCTGACTGCCTGACCTCCCATGAAGAGCCTGACCACCTAAACCCCTGCCTATCACAAAGCATGCAGGGATCAATAACCTCTTGCTCAATAACCTCTTGGAGACTATCAATTATAAATGATGAGAGGAAATGCTACAAGTCTCTGGAATAATACAAGAAGCAAAATACTCATGGATTTATAGGGGTCTGAAAACATCACACTAGCTTAGGTAAAACAAGTGGCTTTTCTTAATTTTCTACAACACGGGCTGGCAAATTAAGAAGCTTTCTCAGGGGCAGCACAAATGCCCAATGTTTAGTCATGGCTGAGTTGAATCCTAGTCATCCCTCACTACAGAGAAGCTGAGAGAACCTGAGGATATCTCTTTAGATAGTATGCTCCTCCACTTGCCCTACCCCAAATGAATCCCAGCACAAAATTTACTTCCACTTGGGTTTATGTGTGTAGCTCAACGGGCACAATGGTAATATGTGGGTGGTTTGTTGAGACTTGCCTCCCCCGCACCCACTGATGCTAGAGGGTGAAGGGTATGTGTTACTATGTTTTATAGGCACTTGAGGCAATGGTCTTATATGCCAAACAAATACAGAGCTAATCATTGATTAATCAGTGATTCTATCATTTATTCAATGAATACTTGTAGAGAGCTATCCAGCTATCCATGTACCAGACTCTGGGCATGATGACAGGGAC